GCCTCTCCCCAAGATACCCGCCATGTTTCAAAAATATTGAACAAGGGGGTCCAATTCTACGGGCCCCCAAACAGGTTGCCCCCATCCCCTCCATTGTTCACTATGGTGGGGAAAAAAGTTACTTTTTCCCACCATAGAGAACAATGGAGGGGATAGGGGACACCTGTTTGGGGGCCCATAGAATTTGACCCCCTGGTCCAATGTTCTTCACACTTGGTTGGTATCTTGGGGAGAGGCTCCATCAGCTACCCTGTGGGTTTGGAGTCTCTCCCTCAAACTCCCTCCCCTCCAGCCCCCAGAATATACCCTATGTTTTCACCATTGACTTCAATGACCCATAGGATATAATGGGGCCGAAATTGACATTCCGCTGGCCCCTTTTTCAAGCCGGGGTTCTAGCGCGGAGCCTGAAAAAGGAGGGGGCGGCGGCTCTGCAGGCCGTTTTTCAGGCCCGGAGCCAGAATAACCTCTCGGGTGAGAGGTGGAATTTGCCCCTATGAGTCCAAGGCCACCACCCCGGGGCTCAGAGAGGCAAGGGAACGTTTCACCCCGCCCCCCACGGGCATCGCAGCTGCCGCTGAGAACAACCGCAGTGGCCATAACTTTTTAAGGAACCCCGAAGGAGAGCTGGGGGAGCCAGAATGACATCTGGCATGAGAGGTGGAATTTGCCTCTACGAGTCCAAGGCCACCATCCCGGGGCTCAGGGAGGTGGGGAACGTTTCGCCCCCCCCCACCGTGTCCCAACTGATGGCTGGTGGGAGCAGGGGGTGGGGCTTATGTGCCCTCCCCCTGGGCTCCTGACTGGCGGAGCGGTGCTCTGGTGCGCTCCGGCAGGAACCGAGGCCTGAGTAGAACATATAAAGATGCAAACACATAAAAAAACACAAACAGGGAGGAGGGCTAATAAGAGTTAGTGAGTGAATGCCAAACCAAACAAACATATCTTCACACACTGGCAGCGGAGGGGGTTCCAAAGTTTTGGTGCCCTGACCGAGAAGGCCCTTAACAGCAACTTAATACTACAATAAACACATTACGCTTGAAGATGCCACAAAATTCTATGTCAATATCTTATGTGGTTCCTGATCAAAAGGTGCTGCTCCCCTCCCCCCCAGGCAAGGCGCATAACAGAGGCTTCGAATGAGAATTATCTGGTGGTTGTTTGGCTTCTGCATTTCCTAGTCCTGAAGCTTCGTGGTGGTTGCTTTCTAGATTGCAGCTCAGTGGCAAAGCGTCTGTTGATCCAGAATAGCGTCTGGAAACTTTGACATTCTTAATACAAAGAAGAAGAAGAAGAAGAGGAGGAGGAGGAGGAGATTGGATTTATACCCCGCCCTTCACTGGGAGTCTCAGAGCGTCTTACAGACTCCTTTCCCTTCCCCTCCCCTCAACAGACACCCTGTGAAGTAGGTGGTGCTGAGAGAGCTCTGAGAGAACTGCCCTTGAGAGAATAGCTCTGACAGAACTATGGCTTGCCCAAGGTCATCGAACAGCTGCAAGTGGAGGAGTGGGGAATCAAACCTGGTTCTCCCAGATTAGAGTCCGCACACTTAACCACTACACCAAACTAGTTCTGTGTCTATGTGCATGTGTGCATGGGTGTGTAAGAAATACTCTGCAATCCTGGTGAACTGGTTAAGTTTTATGTTTAGTCTGTAGAGAATTCTGGGGGAAAGTTAGTATAGCTGTGTGGCACAGACAGTAAAACATTATCTGGGTATAGCAGAGCCAAGCTTTCTTAAAATTAAACTCAATTCTGTTAGTGATGTTATTTCTTTACGATACCTGTCTGATACAAGAAGAAAATGCAATAGAGGGCTATTGGAGAAGCCCTGAGTGTTAAATCAAAGCTATTATCTTGGGATAAACTATATTTCCATCCTCTCATTTATGGCTATGGGAATACACTATGCCGAATCCTTGTTTCCCAGAGCTGCTTGAGAAAATGTACATACCTCAGAAATATGAGTAATCTGCATAGCTTTTTAAAAATAACTTCTTTTCAAAAGCCGTAGCCACCAGTGTTCCCTCTAAGCTGAGTTAGTGTGAGCTAACTCACAGTTTTTTAGCCTCCGGCTCACACATTTTTGTCCTAGCTCAAGAAGGATGGCTCCAGTGCATACTAATTTATGCAGTAACCAAATTGCTCGCTCACAACCTTAATGCCAGTAGCTCACAAAGTAGAATTTTTGCTCACAAGACTCTACAGCTTAGAGGGAACATTGGTAGCCACTAGACCTCGAATGGTGACAGATAATGAATGACTACTTTTAATTTATGGCCTAAAAAAAGCTGTAGCCCAACTAGTAGGAATTTAATGAAACAATATGCTTTGTTCTCTCAAGAAAATTGTCAGAATTGCAAAGTAGCTTCATACTTGTGTTCAGCCTTCTTAGGCAGGCAAATAAGTACTCAAGATAGCATCCTACTGGTATGAGCAGGTCATGTTGAAGGGAGAGGAAGATCGAGAAAAGATCTTCCATGAATCCCTTGTCCAAGGACTTGTTCACATGTATATATCACTATGCGGATAAAGGATTGCGGAATCTGTGGAGTACCTCCATTCAAAAGTATGGTTCACAAGATGATAAGAAGCTTTGGTGTGTGATCTTTGATGGCCCATTCACGCCTTATAAGCCCTTGTGTTTGAATGCTACAGTCATCACGTGAAGACTGTATATGTGAACCCAGAGGTTACATCCGTATTGCTGTTAAACAGCAATTTTGCTGGTCTTTTCCTTTCCCTCTCCATTTTGGTGCCAAGACCAGCCCTTTGCTGAAGTGAACACACTACATTCAATTCTGTTGGATATGGTAATATCTTTATCAATGCTGAGTTTTTCTTGATAGGTAATTGCATCCTGCATAAAGAAATTTACTAATATCAAAGTAAAGTAGTCATGCTCGTGTTTTTTTTGAAGAGAACAGTGCACAGTTGGGACTAGCAGTTTGCACCCTTTCCTTCCTGTGTCTTCCCTATTCTTTGTCAATCAATATTGTTACAAAATGGACACCCTTAGTTGGACCTAAAGGCAGCCCTGTAGCTATGGAATTTGGGGGGAGGGGGCCTCGGGGGGCCGGCCAGCTAATTCAATGAAAGTACAGTGCAGGTGACATGATTGACATGATTGAGGTTTATAAGATTATGCATGGGAAAGAGCAGGTAGAGAAAGAGGTACTTTTCTCCCTTTCTCACAATACAAGAACTCGTGGACAGTCCATGAAATTGCTGAGCGGTCGGGTTAGAATGGATAAGAGGAAGTACTTCTTCACCCAAAGAGTGATTAACACTTGGAATTCACTGCCACAGGAAGTGGTGGCGGCTACAAGCATGGACGGCTTGTTCTTATGTTCTTAGGTGGTAAATTGGAGCACTTTGAGGGCAGCCCAGGAGAGGGGCCCCAGAAGAAACACTAGGGGGCTGGGCCCCATGGGCCCCATGTTAGCTACGGGCCAGCCTAAAGATCATAGTGGACCGCAGTGGAAAGCTTCTAAAATATATAAAACTTTGAACTATCAAAACCTTAACTGTGTCCTAAAGGTTATATGTAACTAGTTTAGATGCTTGAATAATGAGTCGGCCCAGTAGCTGCTCATTTACAGCAAAGTAGACTGTGTCATATAGACTGAGTACGTGACATTCAGTTGAGCTGAGCTGCGGTGGCTCAAGTGGTTAAGACGCTGAACTGCAGACTGTGGAAGGTCAGTAGTTCAGCAGTTCAAGACCTGAGTGCCGCATGACGGAGTGAGCTCCCGTCTCTAGTTCCAGCTCCTGCCAACCTAGCAGTTCTAAAGCAAGAAATCGCAAGTAGATGAATAGGTACCACTTCGGTGGGAAAGTAACAGCGTTCTGTGCACCTTGGTGTTTAGTCATGCCAGCCACATGACCACAGAAATGTCTTTGGACAACACTGGCTCTTCGGCATTGAAACGGAGATGAGCACCGCAACCCTAAAGTTGGATTTGACTGGCTTTCGAGCAAGGAAACCTTAATTTTTACAGGGGCTGGTCTTGGGCACCTGTGCCATTAAAATCTTCTGTGATGACTGCCCAGTCAGTGGCTTCCTTATCAGCAACTCAGACTGTGGAGTCTGATTCCCTCTTTACTTCTGGAAATGACCCCTGCAAAGTCATACTAACATTGATTAATATGACTGTATGCCAACTGGAAGGTTCATATCTGGAAGTAATGGGAGACTCAGATCCACGAAGCGTGCCCTACTGTTTTCTGCCTGATATTTAATCTATGACTAGCACATTTCTAGAGCTGTCCATCTAGCAACAGTTCTATTAATCAGCTTTGCCGTCCCGAAGTCTTCATATTGCCTCGGATATTTTCTATTAAACAGAGATAAAGAAGTGACATCGATTTTGTTGCCCGTTGCCCTCTGGGCTCTTCAATCTATATCGCATGAGAGAGGATAGTTCACTCTTATCTTTTATTCATCCCCCCTGCTTGCAAAACCTGTGGCTGAACTCTGGTATCTCAAGCAGCAACTATGTAAATGTTTATTGACGCAAGGAGGGGGGAACATTTCAGACCCATTGATACAGGAAATCCTTAGTTCTGACTCCTTGAGAGGAAATCCTTAGTTCTGACTCCTCGAGGCAGAGAGAACAGGAAAAGTTGCCTTTTTGGTTCCTCTTTTATTGCAGATCCTCATCTGTGTTAAACGGTGGAAGCCTTTCATCTCCTAACCAAAGAGACTTCTCGTCTTTTGACCTGTCTACCAGTCAACGACGAGAGTCAAAGAAAATGGGCCTTCTGGATGTTCTGAGGTTTGGCTTTGTAGACGTGAGTGGTACAGCAGCCACAGTGACCTTCCTCCTGATCCTCTTGATTCTACTGTATTGGTAAGTGAATTCATCAGAAAGCGGGAGATGTTCAGAAACCTGGGTACACTGTTCAGGCAGTGCGAGTTGAGTTACTCATGGGTTACCACATTAAAGTTTCAGTCCTGCGGGCGGTTGCATTTCCATTGATTTCAGTAGGACTTTACATCTGCGTAACTCTGGGCAGCAAGGCACCCTGAATTTTATGTAATCCAAAAGTTACATGTGAGTTACATACACTGAATTTTGTACCTTCTTCTCTGAAGATGGATGCAGTTTTGGGGCAGGGGGAAGGATTATGAACAGTAAAAGTATGGCTGCAAGAAAGGATCTGTGTGATTAATTGATTGTTTGTTAAAAGTACGGTAATCTTATTTTAATTGGAGCCATCCACCGTGAAAGGGTGAATAGTACAGTTCTCAACTATCGTTGTGCATCTGTTGAATCGAGCAAGGTGCCTGAGATTACTTCCACAACAATGCGTGGTCTGTGTTACTTACTTGAGAGAAACTGTTAGCTCAATTAAATATCTTGACATACTGTAATATTTTTATCAGTTAGAATGTAGAAAGCAAGACAGATGATCATCTAAAAATTGGTTTGTAGCTCCAAATAAAGAGCTGCATATTGGAAACATGTACTGTGACTAAACAGAAAATCATGTTTTTGGTATCAGCTTAAACTGGATAATTAAAATACCCTTTTATTAAATAATTTCTCCCCCCCACACACACACAAAGAATCTTTATAGGACTTTGCTGGGTTGGATCCAACAGGCTTTTCTCCTGGTGGCAGAGGAAACAGAAGACCCATTTGGCCACCAAAACAGCTGGGCAGGAGATCAAGGCACCTGCATGCACAAAAGCTATGTGGGGCGGGGGCCACAGAAAGGAGGGGAATTAGGTGAGATGGAGTTAAAAATCTGGCTGGATCCAGCCCGTTATATTTGCATTGAACATGCTGTTGCAGAGTAATATCATAATGAGAATACGAAAGTTGATCAGGCATACGTACAGATCTATTATCTGGGTCTTCAAGATCAAATCAAAAGGCAGTATATTTTCCCAGGAATGCACATTCCAATTTATCCATGCTCTGAGATTGTCCTTGGAGGCTCTGCTGTGGGACCCCACAACAGCAGAAATAAGTTTGATAGGAATCGTATAAGGATCTTTTGGTGGCTGTCCTTAACATTTGGAACACACTCCCCCGGGACTTATGTTTAGCCCTTCACTGCTTGCCTTTCAATTTCAGCTAAAGACTTTTTTGTTTTATTTCGGAAGGGCTTTCGAAATCAAGTTCTTCCCTGCTTTTAATATCTGTCTTAAATCATTTTTACTGTCTTAACATGTTTTTTTTACTTTATCGTTATGCTTATAGTTGTATTTTATTAATTTGCTGGCTGCCTTGAAAACTCTTCTTAAACAGGAAAGGCAGCATATAAATGACCTAAGCAAACACACAAACAAATGCAGAGGGAGTTTAGGAAACTCCGTGATGAAACAGAGGCTAAAGTCATGCAATCTTGTTACAGATGCTGCAGTGGTTGGGGGGTGATCACGAAACCTGTTCGGGCACCGTGCCAGGACTGCTGTGTCACCACTGACGTGTTCCACAGAACATGTTTCCTCTCTTATCTTCATATACCTGTTGTCATGGGCTGGTTGAAAGTGTCGACAGAGCCACAAGGACAAACTCAGTGTACCCATGTGGGTGTTTCAACAGGATGAGAGTCAGTGAAAGGAGCGCTGTAAAGAAAGAGACTAAGGTGCAATGCAGACTCCACTGTAATTGGGGTGGAGGAGTAGATTTATTATTAATTACATTTTCCCAGGGCTTTTTTTGTAGAAAAAGCCCAGCAGGAACTCATTAGCATAATAGGCCACACCCAACAGCAGAAACTCATTAGCATATCAGGCCCCACCTGACAGCACAGCTCATTAGCATATTAGGCCGCACCCCCATGTTACCAGAAGTGTGGTCATCCAGCCACACCCACCTTTTGCTTCTTATTCTGTTTACCTTGTTTGTTGTCAAGACCCAGGGCTTTTTTTTTTGGTAGCAGGAACTCCTTTGCATCTTAGGCGACACACCCCTAATGTAGCCAATTCTAATGAGTTTCTGCTGTTGGGTGTGGCCTATTATGCTAATGAGTTCCTGCTGGGCTTTTTCTACAAAAAAAGCCCTGGGAAAATGTAATTAATAATAAATCTACTCCTCCACCCCAATTACAGTGGAGTCTGCATTGCACCTTAGTCTCTTTCTTCTTTACAATAGGCTAAGCTGAAGGAGTCTCAGGACCCCTTACTGAGCCTTGTGGCTGAACAGGACTTCAGGTCAACATCTTTCCACATGAACCCCTGAAACTGATTAGAGCGAGCCAGACCATTGGCCTGTCAAAGCCACTGTTGTCTTCTCTGACTGGCAGTGGCTCTCCAGGGTCTCAGGAAGAGGTCTTTCCTATCACTTATTACCTGATCCTTTCAAGAGCTCAGGGCAGAGTACATAGTTTTCCCCCTCCTCCATTTTATCATTACAGCAACCCTGTGAGGTAGGTTGGACTGAGAGAGCATCTAGCCCCAGGTCACTCAGCAAGCTTAATGGCTGAGTGGGGGGTTGAACCTTGGTCTCCCTAGTTCTCAGACTGGACTGGGCACCCAATCCTAGCCCAGTACATTAACCATCAAACTCACACTGACTCTGGTTCCCCCCCACAATGACAAAAGAGAGCTAGAGGAGGAGTAGGAGTTGGTTTTAAACCCTGCTTTTCACTACCCGAAGGAATCTCGGAAAGGCTGACAATCACCTTCCCTTCCTCCCCCCACAACAGACACCCTGTGAGGTAGGTGGGGCTCAGACAGTTTTGAGAGAACTGTGACTGACCCAAGGTCTCCCAGCTGGCTTCATGTGGAAGAGTGGGGAATCAAACTCGGTTCTCCAGACTAGATGCCATTCGTACCCACTACACCACACTAGAAGCTTATGGTCTATGTATCGGTCTTGTTCTGAGGCACTTTACCACTTGTGACCATCCTACAGGAACATTTCCAGAGTCTTTACAATGTCTCGAGAGATTCTGGAACGCAACTTTCAGCTAATGTTCAGCAGCTGCAAATGAATTAGCACACAAAATGAAAATTGTTCTGTCCAGCATCTTGTCTGCTGGGATACAGCCCAAATGTACAGTCTTTCCGCAAACATATGTGCAGATCATTGTGGGTTACCGCAGAAATACGATACCCCACAAATAGGGATAGCATGTCAGTATGGAGGGGAAGAGGTGCTCAGCAAGGTCTTAAAAGTCTGCTCTTAGATAAGATTAGATTTTTAAAAGCAATGTATTTTCAGAACATTTATTGGGGTTACTTATAACAACTATATAATATAATTTCAGTCCAGCGAGCCAGTGTGGTGTAGTGGTTAAGAGCAGCAGACTCTAATAGAAGAAGAAGAAGAGATTGGAATTATACCCCCCCTTCACTTGGAGTCTCAGAGCGGCTTGCAATCTCCTTCCCCTTCCCCTCCCCACAACAGACACCCTGTGAGGTGGGTGGGGCTGGGAGAGCTCTGACACAAACTGCTCTTTTTCAAGGACAGCTGTGCCAGAGCTTGTGACTGACCCAAGGTCACATCAGCAGGTGCAAGTGGAGGAGTGGGGAATCAAACCCGGTTCTCCCAGATTAGAGTCCGCGCACTTAACCACTACACCAAACTGAAAAACCAGGTTGGATTCCCCACTCCTCCTCCACATGCAGCCTGCTGGGTGATCTTGGGTCAGTCACAGCTCTCTCAGACCTACCTACATCACAAGGTGCCTGTTGTGGGGAGAGGAAGAGAAGGTGATTGTAAGCTGCTTTGAGACAATTTAGGGTAGAGGAAAGCAGGGTATAAAAACCTACTTCTTCCTTATAAGGGCGGTAGCCATGTTAATCCAGGTTAACAGCCACCTCCTTTGTCCCTTTGTTTTGCATACCTAATCAATAGGCTCATTTAATTATTTGTTTCTAACTGTCACTCATTGTGTAGAATCAGCAACTTGCCTGAAATGCAGATATTCATGAAGCGTATTCCCACTTTGGCTGAAACGTGCTGCGGGCCGCTGCCTTAAATGGCAATTGTAAATGGCCTCTCGGTCCAAGCAACACCTTGAGATGTTTGCGTGGCTGAGCCATCCCTGCCGTACCTTTTGTGTGATTCTGTCAGGGCGGAGGCGACCGGGTGAAAGGGTATCTCCCTTTCCCAAGGACGGCCCTTGTCTACAAGGCTGATCTATGCAGTGTGTCGTTGTGGAGTTGCCCAAGATCTGCATTCCTTCATGCAGTCTGCATGCTATTTATGGCTGGCAGTTCAGCTAGCTCTGCTAAATTTGGATCCTGAACCTATTCTCAGGACACCTGAAAAACATTTCCTCTGTAGTAATTACAGAGTAGGACAACTTGATTGACCCTGAGCAATCCCCCCCCTTTTTTTTGGGCGGCAGGGTCAGGGTGAGAATGTAGAGCAGCCAGATAGCAAGCCTGTATGGAAAATAAGCAGGGTCAGCCTTGGCTAGTATTTGGATGGGAGACCTCCAAGACATACCAGGCAGGCAATGGCCGACCACCTCTGAATGTCTCTTGCCTTGGAAACCCTGTTGAGGTCGCCATAAGCCAGCTGTGACTGGATGGCACTTCCCACCACCGCTTACCAAAGACCGCACACTTTTAGTTCTCATCGATTTGGCCCAGAGCCGATTTGTAGTTACCAGAAGAGGTAGCTTAATTAGGTCTGATTTGGTGACCTGCCTTCCACTAGAAGCCGGGGAGGACTGTTGCATCCAAACGAAAGTGTGAAGCTTTAATGAGGTTTTCATAAGAAAGTGTGAGGTCTGTGAAACTTTAATATCGTTGGATGGCAGATGCTGCGGTTCATCACACAAAGTATTATTAGTATAAATAATAGTATTTATCTTTTGCTGCATATTGAGCCGAGTCTGGCATGCCTGGCTTGAGGGTGTGTGCGTTCCTTTTGTGGCTTTCCTC